ATATTTTTAGTAATCGTGTAAATATTGGAATGTCAAAAAATTTGTCTGGAAAATTGTAACGACATAAACAGAACAAAAATTTTTAGGTATTGAATACAGAGTACCCACACTATTAGAATTAAATTTATGCTGGAGAAATATATTCAAAATGTATCGTGTTTCAAATGTTCTCCGTATCGACACTCCAACGTAATTCCCAATAAACCTCTGAACACCTCATAAGCTGATTCTGACAGGAATAAGTAAGATAGTAAGGTAGTAGTTGATTGGCACCACGCAGGCGGACGCCTAAGCAGAAAAAAGTTATTAAACACAGTTCTTGTTTAATTTTCTTTAATATATTCTAAGCCTTAACCTATTGTTGAAAATATTAAAGCATGCGATTGAATATTCAACTTGTTCTTTAGGTTAAGTAATTAATTATTAACATCAATATAACAGCGGAATAGAGTACGCATGCACCGTACCGCATTTTAATTGTAACACATCGTAATATGTGTCGGCGATAATCACACATGTAGTGCCACGTGAGGGAGCACATAATATGATACTACCAAAATAGATTAATTGTGAGAAAACCAACAGCATGGCACTGGGTACAGCACTGGTCAGCTTCACGAAAACATAATCTCGATAAACGAGATAGTGGATTAAATGTCCTTGACGGAATCAACCAACATGTCGTCGTCGAACTTAATACCATTAGCTTCTCCTAAACTTTTCTTACGCTTACGCGAACACCATACGTATAAATGAAACAATTCTTTATGAATTCACACGTGTATATTAATTAATTCTATATTCCAGCCTTTTAGAGTATATAACAACACCCATTGACTGAGGTATTCGAGGTCCCAATATCACAGTCAACCATGGCTACCTTCAGATCTCTTCTCTTTTTCAGTTTTTTCCACCCGACACTTATGAAACTTTATTATGTTTAATATATTAGTGTAGATGAGTGGTAAGAAAAACTTATTCGATTGTGACAACAAAAAATTCAATTTATCAACAGAATCATCAGAATCCGTCCATCAACGTCAAATGTGACTCGCTATTACTGTAGCGTTAATTTAAGCAATGCAGCTGATACACTCAACTGTCATTAATCAATGTGTCTACGAGCACTTCATTTATTTAAGCTTTAAATGTACACTGAAATATATTTTTTATTTTGTTGTAATTTTTTTAGGAATACAATAAAATTAAAATCAAGTTAACTAAAATGGATCGTCATGAACTCAGCAGTAATAAATATACTCCAGACGAACTTACAACCTAGAAAAAGCTCTGTAAAAAGAAAGGAAATAAAAATATTTCACAGATTTCTTAGAGCGTGCGCAGGAATTTGCACAACTTAGTTCCTTCCTCTTCTTTCTACTACCAGACTAAGAAACACTCGGTCAGTCTCAACTTATTTGACGATTACAATGTTTTCAAGGCACGAAACAGCACCAACGCACTTACAACACGTACGAATTAACTTGAGACTCCGCTGGAATGCGACCCCCTTCCCGACTCCCCGCACCGCGTCCCGCGCTGGCCGTGCGCGCTCAGTACCGGTAGCATTTTTGTTACGCATACGCGTCTCGACTCTAGTTCGATATTTTTGATAATTGTTTGTTGTTTGGTTTGGACTTAAGGTTGCCTGGGAGAGATTGCTTTTTAGCAATAAGGTCGCCTGTTATGCTTTGTATTTTTATTGTGTACGAATCTGTAACACTTTTTATAGTGCAATGAAGTGTATAATAAATAAATTAATAATATTATAAATGAGCAAGTGTGTATGTTTATTTCTTTGTCCTTCCTTGACGCGTTAACTAAAAATAATATTATATATATTATAAAAAATAAATATTTAAAATATATAAAAATGGCAACAGTATATCACTTATTACTTCACCCCTTGCCAGAACATTTTATTTTGTTTTTATTAATAATCTCATGCAAATCTCAAAAATTTCAAATAAAAATATAAAAAATAAAAAATAAAAATGAAAAAATATTACGACGCATTATTTTGCACACCGTACATTGACAATTACGTCATCGGCCCAGGTCTCAAGTTATACTTAGCCTAACAAAATCCTTTTCACGTTTTTGTTAGGCTAAGTAAGTACGCCAGTTAGATTGTTAATGCCTGCCTGCAGGACAGCTTAGTTTCATAAAAATTGTTACGTGGTTGTGTTTAAAAGTTTTTAATAGGATACCTAAAGCGATTAGAGAGTTACCAAAAATGAGAATGAAAACTCACCTTAAAAAAATGACTCCTCCAGCAATTTTTTTTACGCAATTATAGATTGCACATAAGTAGGTGATACTTTTAAGAGTTTGACAGAATGTTTGAAATAATATTTGAATTATGATATTTTTATAAATTGAAAAATTTATCAATTTAATTAATAAAGATATAAATATTAAAACAAATTATTGAAAACTGGATATTATGTAACATTTGTAATTGACATTATATAATTATTGACATAAGAGTATTAATTGATATTCAGCTAAAATAATACATCTTATTGGCATTTTTTTTTCTAAGACTGTAACATAGTTAATTAATTATCAAATCAACTGAGTAATGTTAAAAATTTTGTGTTGGTAAAAATTCGATAAGTATTGTTGTATAAGTTACTTGACCATTACTATTTGCATACCGCTGAGGTAGAATATGTAAGAGCGAATTATATTCGAACACCATTGTACAACCATATTCTTGCAAATAAAGATTATTATAACTATCATATTATTATATTATATTTTATTATAAATAATATTATTATTAATATTTACCGTCTATAGCTACATCACTACTTACCATCAGGTGGGATAGTAGTGAAGCAATGGCTAATAATGTTAAGAAAAATTCTTAACTGCAGCAGAATTTGGAATTAACGTTAAGAAAAAGATTTTACAAACTATGTGTTAACAATGTGGACGAATATTACATAAAATAATATTATAAAATACAAAAATATGCTTACGAATTTTTTGCTAAAATTTACTTATCGTTCATTGAGCTATTATGTACTACGAACTAGAGGCGACACTGCATTCAGCTACTATGTTCCATTCAACTGCGGTGCATACACCGCACTTTAATCAGTCACTCGCTAGGCGCTTGTAGAGTTGACACGTGTTGTGTTGATTTAAAAAAATCTCGTGATAAAAATATGCCGTCGTGCGTACTTAGATATTGCACAAATAATTCAAGAAATGTCAGTAAAAACCAAGGAATTACTTTTCATTGGTTAATAAGATACTTAATCAAAAAATAGTATTATAAAGTAGTAATAAAACAAATTGTTCGTAAGACGCCATCTCATGTCACGTAATATAGATTATGAAATTAATTTGTTCAGATGCGACATTTCTGTGGGTACTTAAGTATAGGAGGAATGTATTATTATACACATTTTTTTGTAGAAACATATATGAGTTATCATTATTAGGCCAAATTTTTCATATTTTAATCTGCTAATTATGCTTATATTTTATTTTTAGGTTTCCACATCAAAGTCAAAGTGGAATAAATTTGTCAATTTTTAACTCTCGCGTGGCCAGTATTTATGAACGACTCTTATTCTAATTTAAATAAATATATTTGTAATTTAAATGTTATATTAAAAAGTTTTGTTAAACACACATTTAGTATGTTTTTTTATATTTGAGATAAATACGTTTTAAAATATTGAGATAAAAATATCATTAAAATGTAATTGTGATATAATATAATGTAATATTATATTAAATAAGCAAATATAATATACAAAATAAATGACAAAATTTAAAAAATTGTTCTCGATATAATTTTTTACCTATTTAACAGTACAATCTATTATTACCTACTGATCATTCCACCTATGTTTATTCTATGATAGAAAACCAACCACACGAACACAGAGTAGTTTTTGTTTGAAATAGCTGTTCTAGTACGTAATTACATATTACTTCAATGTTATCGTGACGAAGTTCGCTGAGTCATTTTATGAGTTCTTTACGAATTAAACGATTTTTTTATAGGATGGGCTGACAAACGAGCACACAGTCCACCTGTTGGTAAGTGGTTGCTGCGGCCCATAGATATACATCTATCCTCGATTACAAATCAAAATGTAGATGCGTTGTCACCCGTGAGGACTAAGATGGAATGCCTCGTTTCTAGTGAAAAGAATTTCCGGTTCTCTACACTCACCATACGAAACACAGCGGCATTAAGTTACTATTTTACGCTGGTATTCTGTGAGAGCGTGGTCCTTCCCCGGTCGAGCCGACCCATTCGTGCTACAACTATACTACTAATATAACTGAAGAATGGCTCTACCACGTATAAAAAGAGACTTTATGGTAAATATCCCTTTAGATGATTCTATGGTCAATATTCGTAGATTCCCATACGTAAGCAACGAATATAAAATTCACATTTAAAATATGAATGCAGATAACACAGCTTTTTTGCCGACAGTGCACCCTTTGCTGAAACTCAAATGATTCTTTAAATCAAGTTGGATGTTATAGTGATAGAACAAGTAACTGAAATTGCAAGTACACTCTTATTTCTGAGAAGATCGGAATATTCCAGCCCATCCCCTTCATAACAGGAACGGTACGAATATGTTCTGTAAGCTCCAACATAATTTTATAGAAAAAGGCATCTTACCATGAGGTATGTCATTATTCATTAATTTCAGTCCATCAAAACAGTCTTTACATAGTTCCAATTGCTTCATAGCTATCATACTTGGTAGGCGGGTTGATGACTACAGTTTTTATTATTTTGAATTGTCATCAGGTGGATGCTGTTGCCAATATTGGGTGCTTATTTAATTTTTTTTTTTTTAAATTTTTTATTTTTGTCTAATAAAATTTTTATAAAAAAAAAAAATAAAAAAAAAAAAAAAAAAAATATAAAAAAAAAAAAAAATTTTAAAATTAAAAAATTTTACCCAACACCAAAACCATTGTTTCATTACCTTATGTCTACTCCTATGAGACCTCTAGGATGATATGGGTTTCTCTTTAGCCACCACCACAAGGCCCTGTTACATGCAATATTGTGCTAATACAAGGTTGGAATTTTTAGGATTATGAATTGCGAATAGACTGATATTTGTGTAATATTAGTGATGAAATTAGTTGACTTCACTACGTCTGTTACGTTTTGAAGGATAACTGAGGTAAATTGTTATGACACTTCAGCCGGGCTAGCATGAGCAGGGGATAAAAATTTTATCCACCGATTATATCCACTGACAAGGGATAAAATTGTGTTATCCCTATGTCAAAGCTTTATCCACCCTGCGAGCATGGGCCTATGGTGGATATAATATCGACAGTAGATAAACTTATCGCCGCGCATAGATAATATACCATAGTATAAAGCTATAAACTATACTAGCTATAAACTAGTTTTAAGATTAAGTAGATTTACATTAACTTATATTTTCTTTTACCTTTTGTTTATTATATTGCTAAACTGTTCATAATTTTTGTTAAACAATATGTCATTTATAATATTTGTTATATATATTTTTTAAGCGTATTTCTGCCTTGTTTTTATTTTTTCTATTATTCTAATTCTTTCTTTATTTTCTTTTGTATAATATTTAAGTTAAATATACATTGCTTGTATCAAATCGCAGGTATTACTTCGCTTGTGATAGCATTTATTAAAAAAATATGTGTTTAGAATTAAGCCAATTGTGAAACTGGACAATACAGACCCTTTGGAGGTGGTGTAACCTCTTGAAGAAATTAAAAAAAAATATATCCCCGCAATTACTGCCATTATAAGAAAATTACAAAATACATCAAAATTGATGTCTACTCTAAGTCACAAAGATTTAATTTTAGTTGAAAATGATGAAGCATGAAGAATAAAAATGTAATGATTTCAAACAAAACAAGGAATAAATAATTTCATAATCATGAGTATAGTATATTAAGCAAGCTTTGCTAAAGAATTAACATATTTCTTAATTTAAACCTTTGAATTGTAATTTTACTAAGTTTGATAACTTTATTTTAAAACGTTACAATAATTACCTAAAATATAGTACAGACCGATTCTATTATCATTAAATTTGACTTGACCATGGACTCGCTTTGGGTATTGTTGACACAACCTATGGAATTAAATCATGGCATTGAGCTATTACCGGTAGTACCGGTAGGCGTAGTGTAGGGCGACCCCCCACTAGATGGAGTGACGACCTGGAAAGACATGCAGGAAGTCGATGGATGCAGGTGGCTCAGGACCGTGGTTTGTGGCATTACTTGGGGGAGGCCTATGTTCAGCAGTGGACTTGTGAAGGGCTGTAGTGATGATGATGATGATGATGATTGAGCTATTGAGACTTTTTTGGACAAGGTGGTTGTAATAGATGCTTACTTCAATATGCACTGGTAGTCCATACACAGAATTAATAGACTTTAAAGCCTCATAGAGTTCTTTAAACAAATTCAAAACAATCTCTTTTTTTATTCTTAGAAAAAAGGGCTTTGTCGCTGAAGCGATTATGACGCCCTGGTACAAGAAAATTCTTAAATAGGATAATTACTAACAACTATATAAACTTATTAATTAATTAATCTCTTATTTACTAACACATAAAGTTTTTTGGCATCTTCTGATAACGGGTCTGATAAAATAATATTAATACTGCCAATCAATGATAAATGTATATTACAATTTTTTCTTTCTCCAGAGTTCTGGACACATTCTATCAATATGTGATAAACATCATCGATAATGTTGCAAGTTGAACAGTTTGGTGAGGTAGTTTTTCGCATCAAGTATGAAAATTTATTGCATGGAATGTGCCCAGATCTGAGTCTTAATGCTGTTACAGTGTCGCGTCTACACAATATTCGGTCTTCCATGTTGAGCGCATTGAAACGGCTGGATCGTACGGTACCATATACCCTTCTCTTTTGCTCTTGTATTAAAATATTCCTTCCAAAGGTCATAACAATTTTTTTTAATAACGGTATATAATTTTGAAATGAAGGGGTAATATTAATATCAGTGCCTTCCGAAATAGCTTGTTTGGCCAAAATATCAGCTTTTTCATTACCCTCTAAGCCAATGTGCGAAGGTATCCATTGTAAATGTACTATTATGGAGTCAGCCTGCAACTTAACTAGAAGCTTCAAAATCGCATATGCTACTGGTAAGCCTCGAAAAACCGAAGTACACCGAGCAAGGTGTTGAAGAGCACTCCTTGAATCTGTTAAAATAACCACATTGTTATAGTTACATGATTGTGTATAGGATAAAGCTTCATAGATTGCTACAAGTTCAACTTCCATAATAGAAATATTAGTATTAACTTTTAACTTTATTGCCACATCATTTAATATATCGTAAAATGAAGCACCGTTTCCGAAATTATCTTTCGAACCATCTGTAAATATACTCAGATAATTCGGGTAATGTTCGTTTAGGTAATTAATACACATGTTTTTTATGTCAAACATGGTACTGATGTTTAGGGTTTAGAACTCCGTCTATATTTGGTCTTAAAATATCTGAAAGGTTTAAACTAGTGATCCACTGATCCAGAGAAAACATACCTAACTGTGAGCTTGAGTATATAAAAAGTGATTTGAAGTTGTCATGGATTATTGTTAATAACGGTTTTTTCTTATTATTCCAATACACTGTTTTGAATGGTATCGGATAGGTTAGAGATAAGATTAATGGAAGAGTTATTTAACACGGATTTATTTTTTAACCAGAATTTGCCTGCAAGGTAGCGTCTTCTTAAATGTAATGGGCATAAGCTGAGATCGCTTTCCATTACGTGAATAGGGGTGCTTTTTATATAACCTCCTATAGTTCTCATTGACTGATTTTGAATCTTTTCTAACTTAAATAAATTAGTCTTACTACTGTTATCATACAAAAAGCTCGCATAATCTAACCGACTTCTTATAATACTAATATAGAGGTTCCGTAAATGTTTAGGGTGGACACCCCAGCCCGAACCTGATAAAACTTTAAATACATTTAAAAATTTTAATACTTTTTCAGATGTTTCCTTTATATGTTTATTCCACCGCAGTGATCGATCAAGCCACATTCCAAGGTATTTTACGCTATCTACTACTTCCAAAACAACATCTTTAATTTTTAGACTAATGTTATGTTGTCGACGCCCTCTTGAAAAGATGCATATTTTACTTTTTAACGGTGAGATATCCAAATTTATAGTTAAAAATAAATCATTTAAAATGTCTAATGCCAATTGCAGTTGATTTTCCGCCTCTTTCAAGTTTTTAGAAGTTATAAATATGACATAATCATCAGCATACTGGGAGATATTAAGATGTGTTTTGGAAATTATAGACTTACATATATCTATTGTAGCTATGTTAAACAATAGCGGAGAAAGTGGATCTCCTTGTGCTAGACCGCGACCTGTACTTCTAGTTATTTTATAATCTATCCCTTCAATTATTAAAAATCTTTGGCTTAAATAAGTCCAGAGATAGTTGCAAAATTTTGCGCCAACATTAAGGCGATCGAGGGTCGATAAAAGATAATGTCTACATTATTATATGCGTTTTCTAGGTCTAAAAAGCATGCTACTGTAAGAAGATTTTTTGTAAAACCTATTTGAATGCTTGTAACTAAATCGGTTAAATTATCGTGACAGGAACGTGATTTTCTGAATCCTTTAGTTTCCTCAGAAAGTAGTTTTTTGTTTTCAATATACCACTCTATACGGTTATTGATAATGGCATGAAATACTTTACATAAGCATGAAATAAGAGAAATAGGTCTAAGAGATGAAGTACAACTAGTGTTCCTACCCGACTTAGGTATAGCTATAATGCGAACATGTCGCCATTGGTATGGAGCAAAGCTTTGTGTAAAAAATATATTATAAAGATTGAGTAAAACGTTTTGGCCCACTATAGGTAAATTAAGTAACATTGAATAAGAGATATCATCTGTGCCCGGGCACGTGTCTTTAGATTTTAAACATTTATAAAGCTCCGATCTGGATATTTCGGTTTCTAATTTAGGATTTTGAGATGTGTAACCTGGGTAGGGTTGACTTACATAGTCAGGGGTTAAGTTGCACAATAATGACTCAGCAATACTTTTTTCAATTTGTGGTTTAGCTGATCTATAACCTTTTAACCACTGCATTTTTCTCCACATTTCAGAAGCTGAAGATATTTCATTCAAGGACGTACAAAATTCCCACCATCCTTTACTTTTAGCGTTTCTAATTAGTTTTTGAGCCTTGCGAGTTTTTTCCTGCAATCTATTTAAATTAGCCGGTGTGGGATTCTGTCTAAATATTTTAAGTGCTAGCCGTCTCTCTGCAACAGCGTGAGACAGATCAGGAGTCCAATATGGCTTAGGAATAAAATTAGCCTTGGGATTTAGGCATATTTTAATAAATGGAATACTTGCTTCTGCGGCTTTGAACAACAAAGTGATAAAATCATCATAGGCTTCTTGTGGATTACTTGAAATTTCGAAATGAGCGCACTCTTCTTCTATTACCTGACGATACTTCACCCAGTCAGCTTTTTTTAAAGTTTCGTCTTTTATGAATAATAGGAGAATGATTCATAGATGATGAAATCTTAATTATTAGGTGGTCACTACCTAAACACTCGTTTGTAACATTCCAATTAAACTTAAAAGCGATATCAGATGATATAAATGTAATGTCGGGAGCTGACTGTTGTAAGATACCGCCAACTAATTTTAATCGCGTAGGCCTGCCATCGTTTATAGAAACAAAATTATGGTCTTCTAATGAGTCCAGAATTTGCGTGCCCCTAGAATCGGTTTTATTCGACCAATTAGGGTGATGTCCATTAAAATCTCCAAGTATTAGAGTCTTTTTATCAGAAAACGAAAAATCCCAATCACTACATGAAGTTCGAGCACTAGGCGAGCAATATAGAGAAATTATATGTTCAACAATTTCACAATTAGAAATTTTAACGGATATCACCTCAATAACCGCGTTGGCACTTCGCAGTGGAAGCAACTGAGCCGAGAGAGATTTGTGTACTATTAAAGCCACTCCGCCATAAGAGTCCGCCCTATCAAGTCTAAATACGTTATATTCTCTAAATTTAAGTGTTATATCAGGATTCAACCATGTTTCCGAGAGCGCGGCGATATGAATTTTCTCCTGACACAAGAGTTGTTCAAATTCCGCACACTTTGATTTAATACTTTGAGCATTCCATTGCAAAATGTTAAGGCTGTCTTTACCTATTATTACCGAGTAAATTTTGTAAAAAAGACAAGTTCGAGATATTTTTAAATATCCATGTGATTATCCATTCAAAAAATAAGTGCACTACATTCTCGATTCTACTTTTTAAAGGCTCATTACTCTCATTAGAGATAAAACTTTTAAGTTGGCTTAATAAAATAAAGAAAGGAATATCAGATTGTACATTACGATTCTTCTTTTTGTTTTGTTCAGACACTGGTTGATCACATACACTACTTTCAGACTCTGTCGACATATTGCCGTCATATATATACTCTTCTAAATTAGGTTCTTGAATTCTCTTCTTAATCTTCTTAGTTGTGTCATTTCGAACAGATTTTTCTCCCCGACTGTCCACTTTGTTCTTGTTAATGGGGCTCGATGACACGGCCTGCGCGTAAGTAACAGGTGTAGAAATATCCTGAACCGGCAAAATAGAGCTAAAAAACCTATTTGTGGTTCCTGGGATAGGTTCCGGCAATTGAGGCATCTTATTTAAATTACCTAAACGGGGCATTGGCGATTGAGTTGGCACATAAGTAGGTGTTTCGGGCGGTACATACATTGCCATAGCCTTCCTGTATGAAACATTAAATTCAGCCATTATTTCCCGTAACTTCTTCTCCTTTATATATTTTGGACACTGACGATTCAATGCCATGTGATTTTTCGTACAATTAATACACTTAAATATTGTTGTCTCGCAATTTGCATGCTTACCTCCACATTTGGGGCAGTATATACGTTTTGAAGGACACATTCTAAGGGTGTGCCCAAAGCGCCAGCATCTCGAACACTAAGTAACAGGAAATAGGTATGGCTCCATCTTAACTTGCATGTCATATATGCACAGATACGATGGTAACGTAGACCCTATGAAACCAACTCGTACTGATTCACTTTGAGTCCAGCCAGATTCTCCATCCCCCCTGCTTTCTGCGTTTGAGTCGTTTCACGTTGGGCACCTCAATTGCGCAAGAAATAGATTCTAACAATTCTTTTTCTGATAGCTCTAATTCGATGTTCTTAATTACACCATAAGAGAGTCCTACTTCAAATGGTCGCTGAAACCTCCAGCCCAATTCCACAAGATGATCACACTGTATCAATAAACAGCATCTTTTTCTCCGTATAGTTCTACAATTATTTAGTATGAATTGATATATTTTGCTCGCACAATGTTTACGTTCTGATTTTTAAATAACTTGGCAAGGGCAAACTGTTTCGGGAACTTCTCTTTAGACGTTATACATATTTCAATACTACCTCTTATTTCTTTAGATTTCTCTTTTCTGCTTTTCACTTCTTCCCAGTCTCCTTCTTGCTCACATCCTCTAGCTTTTTTTTGTTCGATTTGAAGGTCCGAAGGCGAAGTATTCCTACCTCTTTTGCCCAATATTTGGCTAGATTCGTAGTTTATGTATTGTGTATTGGTTCTTCCCCCGCTAAATCAGTAGAAAGAAGATCAGCCTCCATTAGTGTTCAACTGAACTGCCGGCTCCGCTTGGCCAAGCCGTAAACGCAGGTAAAAAATTCCTAAGCCGATAATAACCGTGCGCGCAACGATACACGTACGAACGCGAAGCCACTTCGCCACTGAAAACAATCTTTAAGCATCCGAAACCGGCGTAGAAATTCGTTGTCGGAGAATTCCAATAGATTAAGTATTCTGATCACGTATCTATCGCTGATGTAACTCTCTTTCTTGTTTTTCAATTTCTGACACGAAAATGTAGTTGCAATAGGCTCGAGACATCTTTTTTGTATTAAAATGGTATGAAGATAAACTTAAACCCACGTCCGCGAAAGAGGATAAAATTTTCCCTTTCAAATGTCAAAAAAGGGATAATTTTTTCTCTTTCCCTTGGCCCCATGCTACGGACGGGGAGATATATGTCCACTCGTTATGTCAAACGGGGATATACTATAGAGATAAGATAATTTTACCTCTTGTCAGTGGATATAATCGGGGGATATAATTTTTTGTCTCTTGCCCATGCTCGCAGGGTGGATAAAACTAAGCAAGGGATAAAAAATTATATCCTCTCTCCGGGGATATATTCTCTCCGGCTCATGCTAGCCCGGCAGAGGCCTACTTATGAACTACTTGAAAATCAAACAGCAAAGTCTGACATGAAATTTACGACTCCGTGGCGCAGTGGCTTAGCAATGAGTGGCTGCGCTGGGGGCCGCGGGTTCGAATCCCGCACGGAACAAGTATTTGTATGGCCTACAAATAATTGTTCCGGGTCTGGATGTTCGTCCTTGTGCAATTTATGTTTATAAACTGCCCCCACGATACAGGAGAAAATCCTAGTGTAGGGGTAACGTTTTTACAACAAAAAAATTAGAAACATAAATAAAACAATAGTCACTTTCGTAAACATTACTTAAAAAAATGCTTAAAGTCTCTGTATTCGACTTAAACTAGTATGAATTTAAGAAATAAATCAAATATTATAATATGAAATGTAAAAAATGAAAAATGAAACAGTCGTAAAATTACCAAAGTCATAAGAAGAGGAAAGGTATTCATTTCGGGCATGGTCCTTTACCATTTCAGCCGACCCTTGTGTAATAGCAAGCTGAAAAAACTTACACTAACGGTCGGTGAAAAAGTTTCCTCGTATTTTATTTACAAATACAAAAAAAAAATCAGTTTAAATACATTATTATTTATATGCGCAATTTTGATGATAAACTTGTTGTCATCTTGTAGGTAGTGACATAATCCTATTGCTGTAGAAATCTTGGGATTTTTGATCAAAAAAAAATGCGACAAGTAGCTTTGACAGTCCTCTCTTGATGTTAACCTAACACTACCCAAAGAATACCGAAGCAACCGAAACAGGGTAAAATCTGTGGGTGCAAGGTAAGGAATATATTATGGTAAATGCATTTACACTTCCCAATCAAGCTCTCACAATTTTTCCTGAGAGGCCAAAGATGAGTGTGGTCTGGCGTTATCATGATGAAAGACCACACACAGAAAAGGATTTCTGTTGTTTAATTTTGGCCGTTTGTTCTCAATTTCTTGCTTGAGTCTTATTAGATAATAAATTATATTATCCACTTATTGCGTGTTAATCCGGATTTCGCTATAGTCTGTGGAGCTTCTTAATTATCCTTTGACTATGATATTTTTCGCAATTTCTTGTCGTAGGCGATCCAATTTTCATCACTGGTGATCAATCTTTTCAAAAATGGTTCAGTTTCATTACGTTTTAATTGGGAATTACTAATTAAAAAAATGTGTAATAAAATTTGTTAATTTAACAAAAAAAAGCCTACATCTTATACTATTATGAAGAAATGCTACAAAAGAGACACCTGGAACTATCAAATTTCTGCATCTCTTTCCAGGTTGTCACTCCATCAAGTGAGGAGCCGCAATACATTTTTCCTATAAGGATGCCACTAGAAAACTTTTCTTTTCCATCGGTTGTTGGTATATGACCAGCCCATCACTACTTCAACTAACTCATTCTTTGCTTTATGTCGGTTACTCCGAATCTAATATACTCTTTTGTAATATTTTTAATTAATTATTTCACTTTGCCTTAAATTAAACTTTTTAGTAATCAAACTCATTATTTAATATGAAACTGGTATGCAAATTTGCTCGAAGATTTAGGATTTTGAATGGACATTCTCTAACAACTTATTTATTTCAATTTATCTGTCGTCTAGTTTGTAAAAATACCGACTTACAAAAATAGGAAAATGAATTTGTTTGGTCTCGTGCCAATATGAATAAGACGCAAATATCCAAAAGTTATAAGAAACTACTCAAATATGTAAAGAATTACAAAATTAAATCAGAGATACTAATGACTTCAAACATATCAGAGGTACTGATAGTCGAACAAATATAAAAAGCTACCTTACCTAATAAAATAATGGTTCTCCTGTAAGTTATTTAGTAAATACCGCTACTTATTTAAAATAACTTCGAAAACTTTTTTCTCATTGGTTGTCAGTTTGTCGAGTTATGTTTTCGCAAAATTGCTACTTATACAGACTGTTATTTTCCTGGTTATTGTCCTGCGTTCACGCACACCACCGTGCACGTTAACACCACATTACACAGTACACAGCAATTACTGGCATAGGTGTGTTATAGTCATTGTTCATTGTAAATAATGATAATAAAAATGAAGATATAGAAATGAAATAAAACTTTGCCACTGTACTTACTATGTGAACCCAAGCTGTTTTGATTTTTGGATTTTATCAAAAAATGTTGCTATGGTCGTCGTCGGTACAAAAATCTTTAAAATAATCAACTTATTGTAATAAAAAAAATCATTAAAGCTAAAATAAAATTCTTCCTAGTTTCCCTGTGACAATTTTTCAAAAAAATATTCTATTAACGCGTCTCATAATAATTTTACCTTATGTGCCTGCACCTCCGTGCGCACGGTAAATAAGCCATTAAATAGCCCTCATTATAATCAAAATTTCGTCAGTAGCTGCGGGGATGCCACTGACGAAACCACTTATTGTGAATTTTATGGCGAGGGCTTATTCTATCACGTGCCTGATATTGAAGTAATTTAATGACGAAACCTGCATGTCGAAATAAAATAATTAAAACACACGTGAAGTCCACTTACACGCATTGCAGTACGCTGGTGAACTAATAACTCCATAACTATTTCAGAAATGAGAAGAGACCTATGCCAAACAGTGGAATATAAGTGTGGATCACAATTTTTAATAACAATTGGGATCCACGTCCGAGCATGCCAAAAATACACTACATCTACGCTTGTCTACGCTAGTCAATAGACTTGCCGAGTATTTCATCTTGTACGAACATGCGCACGCTTATCGACTTATTGAGCCTTTTAAAATTACAATAATAATACTTGCTACTAAAATATTAGTCATTCTTATAACATGTTAGTACACGTAACACAACTTATACGGTATCTTGGAAGTTTTAAATAAGAACTTTATTAATTAACCGTATTAATTAACCGTATTAATTAATAGGGGTAGATTTTTAGACCACATCGACCCCCTAAATCAGTTTTCGTTTATGTCAATCCCTGGGAAACCAATTTCGACCCCAAGGGGTCGATATCGACCAATTTGGGAATCCATCTTTTAGAGTATAACGGCTCACATAAAATTTTCTCTAAAATGTATGCTCGATGATGGCAAGAAATTAATCTAAAAATGTTGAATACAAATTTCACAGACGAGTGATAGCAGAATTAACTTGTAATTCTTCAGATTAATTCAGAGGATATTGCCTCTGCCTTCACCAACCTTTTATTTAATTATCATTGATACCTAGCTGCTTTAGGGGGAAGCCAGCAGGTTATCTACCAACCCAAACCCTAAACCAGTGATGCACAGACTTATTAAGACTAGGGGACACTCGGGCACATTGTGAACTGATGGCGGACCGCCAGGAGTAGAGGTAATTAGAGACAATAAAGAATTGATAATGTGTAGTAATGTATTAAAATTGAAAAAGAATTTATTAATTTGAAGCGTGGCACTGCATAGTGCTTACAATCTTTTTTATATTTGGCTCAAATTTACTTGTAGCAACACGTAAAACTGCTTCCAAACTTTCATTTGCAAGGCGGT